TAGAGGTAGCATAATACTTAATTAACTTTAAAAAATAATTATTGTACTAATATGGTTACATTTTATTAAATTCCCTTTATAGAATTAATTAACTTTTAAAATTTTCATAACAAAGAGTTAATGAATGACTGCCATACATAACAGCTTGTAAGAGAGGTGAAGGTATAATGATACCTCAACCTGAGTCCCAATGAGCACTTTCTACTACACAATTAAAAGCCATTCATTTAAAATATCAACAATTAGACTGCTATAAGTTATTGGAAAGTCTGCATTATATAAACATCTTAATAAAACAATGCTTCATTATTAAATTCAGGTGTATCATGTAAGCACATGAAGCTTTTGTTAACTGGCAGGGATACTTAGGCAACAATTTTAAGGTTAAACATTTTGAAATTAACATCCATTGTTATCTGTTAAGTAGTAATTTTGTAAATGCTTTGAAGGTCCTGGAAACAAGTATTTTCTAATTATTCTAAAAACGTGTCCTTTATTTTTTAAGACCATAATTGTATACTTTTTCAAGTTTCAATGATAAGAAGTGCCAGAGTCAAGAGTTGAAATCTGTTCTTTCATCAAAAATAAACCACATTTAGCATTTTTCTGGAGACTCTTTTCATAATTCCTTTTCTGTTGACTATTTAAAAGTTTAACAGCTAGTGCATAAAAGGCCTATAAAGATGGAAGATGCATTCAATATTTTAAATAAATTCTTTATTATAGGGAAATCTATCTTTGATACTTTTTATGGAAATAATGCTTTATAAATATGTCTACTTAGTAATATGGCTTGAATTTCCTTATTTTGAGGGAAAGGTAATTGAGTTAATAAGAATGAGTTTTGTTTCACTTGCTTGTCTTTCTATTCATTTGTAATTTTTCAGCCATAATGGATTTAAGTGAATCCCAGTCACTGTACTGAACACTTGATATAAATTATCCCATTGACTACTCAGGAGTACAGTACTCCATTTTACATATGAGGAAACTGAGGCTTAGGAACATTCAGTAATAGCACACACAAGTGCCCAAGGCTCAAGGTTAGAATGGGACAAGAATGAATCGAGTGCTAGACAGCTTTGAACTCAGAGATTTATCATGTTTCAATAATTTAGCTCCCCATCCGATAAGCTATATAGAAATGACTGTTCTCAGATGCAACTGCCCTCCATTCCCAAGCAACTGGTTTCCTCTTACTTCAGATACACTAGTGGAGCATACTGTATTCCACTGATGAAAGCTAATATGTAAAATATTTAACAATAGAAAGAGCTGGGGGCCAACCTATCAAAACAGGCACTGGCCCCAATGAATAGCAATTGGTTATGGACCACGGGAATGCCATTGGTGATTTATAACTACCCTGAAATCAATTTAACTCTGCAGTCAAGGACTAGAAGAGAAAGGATATCCCTCCTGCCTACCATTCGAATATCTGCTATTCTGCATTTATTGAGCAAGGAAAGACAGAATAAAAAGGGAAATAATGTTAATATAGACCCCAGTGAGGGGGCTGCCTTGAGACTATTTTACTTACCATTAGCAGGAAGTGTACAGAAGGAAAACAACAACACAACCCAGCTGAAGAGGATGCGTGCCTCTTAATTACAGCTAGATTGCAAGATTAAGAATGGTATTGATTGTAAAAAGTAACTGCGTGACAGCTGGTAGACTATTACATCTGCATTGCAGAGCCATTAAAATGCTCCTACATTTGGTAGCTACCATCACCACTATCTGTCAACCAAATGTGGATGTACATCGTATGTTTAGTCCTGTAGTAGAATGAAATAAAACTATGTCATTTAACAGAGAATTTTGAAACAAAGTTAGTATCTTGATTATTTTAAATGTTTCAGTTTCCTAGTGTATTCTGAACACTCTTTCTCAGGCGCCATGTGATACAGTTCCTGAATTAATTTTCAGCAATAACCACACCTGTGAGTGCTCGGCAGCTCAGAGAGGCAATATGCTACACCACAAAGAAGTCTTTTATCTGTCTCTTCAACAATGCTGTTCATTGGTCCCACTCATTCACCAGGACAGAGGACCTGGTATTATTCTGTGTTACCCTGTGCTTTCCCCAACATTTCCAGAAAAAGAGAATAGGGGGAAATTGTGGAAAACTCCCTGTCAGACTCGTATTGGAAATGGTTGTGGAGGTATGTGGTATTTGGGATGCAAGCTACCTTTAAATAGACAATCCTTACACATAGTTCTGATCCTAATATGCAAAAAGTTTGCTTTTCTCACACACAGTTGGCAACGTGTCACCCTGTGCCTGTGAATTTGGTTTGGCTGAAAAATACATGATGCTTGATTTTAGATATTGAGTCCCAGCTACTGTGTTAACTTTTCTACACGCCTTCAATTCTGACAACCACCATATGTGTTAGATTTCACTGTGTCCAGTTACAGCAAAAGAAACCAATGCCTATCAAGTATAGGTTATTAACAAGGCCAATTGGCAGGCCAAGGGCAGAGGCTGGTTTCCAAAACAAGTCAGCCTGAGTTAAGTCCGAGTTCTTCATAACCACCATTCTCCATAGCCTCCCTTTTTACGGGACTATCCTTTCTAGAAGAGAATTACTTATTTTCATGGTAATAACCAAGATAATACAATGTGAACCTTTAAATGATGTATGCCATATTTTAGACATAGGCTATGACATAGTAATGACTGTCCCTTTTGCTATTGCTGATTGAAACAAACAAAATAATAATAATCTAACTCTGCTTTTACATGTGAAGAATTCATTTTGACTAGCAAACTGTCAAAATAGTTTACTTTGACTTTGTGTCTACCCATACTTTTCAAGATGGTGACATTTTGACAATGTCAATCCCAAGGTGACAATCCTTTAAGATGTCATTGTATGCCTGGCTCAGAGCTCTGAGATTGTCTGCAAAATGTAAAAAGGATATTCTTCAAGTCTCAGCCTCCCCTGTGGGTGTAGACATATCTTGATTCCTTCTAAAGCTTTCAAATCAAATGAGTGTGTGGCCAGCAAATAATCACACACAAAAAATTTCTAGAAACAATAGCAATGTGTAAACCTAAAGGTTTTGAAGAAAATGTCCATGTTCACTGCTTCTTGTAAAATGCATATTGTAGTGTTTGAGCAAGTCCTGTCCCACACAATTCAGAATTCCACAGCTCTTTCTGAGGCTTCGTTTTAAGTCACCCAGCCACAGGGACAAAGTAGCTATTATTTGCGCTGCTGCTCTGGGTGGGTGGAGACCTTACCCCAGAAAGAGCCTGATATATCGCTGCAGGGCCCCATGTGCTCCATTCACACTTTCTCTCAAAGCAGGTATTAGGCATCTGCCGGGGGCTGGATACCACATTCAGTGCTGAATGAGACACAACAATTGACAGAATGCGTGCTCTGTCTCCAGGGGGGCCAGAGAACAGCCATAAAACAGACCCATGAAAAAATATAATACAGAGGTGCTATAAATAAAAGTATTTTAAAGTTCAACTGCACCAGAGGAGTCAGATGGTTGACAGGTGTGGTTCAAGAAGCTTGCTCGGCAAGGTTGTGGGTCTGGTAATTTGAATTGTATCTTGAAGGAGGAACACGCCGGGCAAAGGAGAAAGTGAATGTCAGAGAATGAAAAGACCTTGGCAAAACTACAGTGGTCTGAGGAGCTCGAGATCTCCTGGAGATAGACTGAAAGCTTTTTGTTTATTCATTTAAAATATAGATCTAAAATAGAGCACATATGGCTGAGGTGAGGAAGAAATACTGGTAAGGAATGGCAGGGAGAATGTGTGATATGGCGTGTGCTCATATGTCACACAAGGAGTTAGAATTCTATCTTGTAAATAATAGTAATATTTTTTTAATACAAGACGATGCCACAGTCAGGTATTCTTTTTAGATTACCCTTTGGCCCCCAGTGTGTAAGAGAGGTTGAAGTGGGAACAGACTAGAGGAAGGGTCTTAACCATATCGGAGTTAGGAAACAGAGAAGCAAACATATGCGAGAGAGCACGTAAGTGCTGGGATTGGGATGGCTGGCTGATTATCTAAATGTAGGAGGGCCAGCGTTCAAAAAGAGGTAGGAACAGCCAAGGCCATGGGGTGAATACCAGCAGCCCCTTGGAGAGACTTTTGATGATGTAAAGTTAACTGTCTTGGAAAAGTCTTATTCAGCACCCAAACTAACCAGGCCTCCACAAATATTTGCTGAACGAAAAGCAAACTAAACTAACAAAGGCCCATACTACCCAAACCAGAGAGTTTGGCTGACTCAGAGCCAGCACAGTTTCATATTTGATTAGGAAAAGATTGACCCAATATGGAGGTTTAATATGTCATTGAAATGATAAGAATCCCCCTAAGGGTATATTGAAGTTCTCATCTAGTTTAGACTTCATATCAGAAAAATTGACAAATGTAATCATCCGTTGGTGTGTGTCTGCTAAAATGACATCTGGTTTGGAGTATAACATGAAAAATTCTTTATCCTTAGCTTTCTCTATAACTAATGAAAATAAAGCTTGTATAATATCCTCTAAAGCACACATTCTCTATTTACGCTACAAAGAAAAAGAGTGTAAGTGCAGAAATCAGTCTGCTAATGCCCTAATAGCTTCTGACATAGGAGCATCTTCAGCAGGATCTACAAAATACTTAGAGAAACCTCTCAAGTATAAAAAACAATCATTACTAAAAATAGCCTGACTTAAGTCCTTTTAATAGTCCTCCTAGCTCACCCTATGGGTGTAGGCATATCTGGAGTCCATCTGAAGCTTTCAAATCAGATAAATGTACAGCCATCAAATAATCACAAAAACAGAATTTCTAATAAAAAAATGGGAATGGATGACCAAGGGATTTCAAACACATGGGTATTTTGAGGTTTATAAAAATATTCCCTTGGTTTGACACAATAATAAATATATGCACCCAGAGTGAAGTTGTGATATATCCATCATCAAAAAAATCTTAAACCATTGACTAAGAATTCTTCCTAAAGGCTAATCAGTCTTAAGTCTAGTCAATTTATTAACAGGCAAGAAAACAGTGAAGAATCCATGGTGTCATGCTTGGGGTTAATTCCTGACTCTGCCATTTACAGGTTTTGTAATTAGGGACCAATCACTTCACTGCTCAGGAAGCTGAGCTTGAAAATCTGAAAAATTAAGAGAGTGTGCCTTACAGGATGCAATCAAGTGTATCAAAGCATTTGGAATACAGTCTTACATACACGTAGGTGCTCAGTAACTGTCACGTGCCATTATTATTATTTTTGATAGATTCCCATTCTGGGGCACAATAGAAATTTAAGAGGTTGTCTGTGTAATTACAAAATACAATTCTTACATTTTCAATTACTTGGTATAAATTTGAAATTTTAATTCAAATTGAGTTCTGATTTTATCAATGCACTATCACGGTTTCATCTATTGAACACCAAGATGGTCTAATACATACAACAGATGCGTCATCAAATTTACCAACAAGTATGTATGTCTCTTTTGTTACTTCAGATACTCTGTTGAATTTAATGAGAGAAAATGTTAAGTCATTGCATGGGCTCTGAGACTCTAGAATGTGTTAAATCATGAGTTTATTACACAATCTGTAAGCTCCTCAGCAGTGGAGTCATAGTTTTCTCTGAATCCCTAGTAGACCCTATGATAGTCCTCTGTAGAAACTGGATGAGGAGGAAATACATTGAGAAGAAACAAATTTCTTTAGGAACACTGTAGAGTACAAAGTATGCTTGAGTTGGCTAAGACTATACGTATTTTATTCATCTATGAGACCTCTGAACTCAGCCAAATGGCTGGAACAGAGTAGGAGTTTAATAAACTTCTTTGACTAAAGGTCCAGTCTTTATAGAATAAGGTCTGCAATTCTTGGCAAAAGTAACAAAAAAATGCATGGACATTATTTTACATGAGATCTCCCAAGTGTAACATGACTCACCTGTTACTACTCTCTTCCATAGTTAATTTTCCAACAGAGATTCTACAAATAATTAATATTAGTTAACTGAAATGTCATGATTTTATTTCCTAATTCAATCTCTGTCAAATATATTATTAGTAAAATGGCCAAGGGGGATAGGAAAAGGGGTTCTGGAAAATCATGAGATTAATCCAGAGCTGAACTTGAATAGGTACTATTTCATGAACGTTTTTTAAAAGTATGGGTTCATGACCTATAAAAAAATTCCGAAGTTGAAAAAGACCATAAGAATTCTTTAGGAAAATTGACATTTAAAATCAATACTAGTCTATATTATGAAATAGGATAAAAAGACTATTCTGATTAGATAACTACATTGATATTTATATCCTAAACAATATATATTTCATGAATACAAAATAACATGCTCCATGTATGTGTGCATATTTAAAAGATATTCATAGGAACAAAGAATTTAGTGGGGACACGAAGATTTCATATAAATCCCTCACATGAAAAGGGTTAGATGGTCTTAAAACACCGAAGTCTTCAAGGTGAGACAAAATGAAAAATCCTTCATTCTTACCATCCTCCTGCATCTCTCATTTCTCTTTCACACTAACAAGTATTGGCTATAACCCAAAAAACTTATTCAGATAAACACAATGTGGTTTTCTTTTAAAATAAGCCTTTACTGAATATATCAACAAGGTACTGTATAGTGTAGAGTGAAATTTGTAGTTAACAACGTGTGTGACATGGTAGGTCTCAGAGGGTGTGTGATGCCGGACCTTCCAGCCCCTTGCAGTCCCTTGTCAGCGAGAACGCACTCAACACAAACCGGAAGCAAATCAACATATGGTTCAAACAATAACAAATCATGAGGATTAACTTTCAGTGAAGACATACTGGTCCTAGGAGGGACACACAGTGGCAATGCTTTCTTCACCTTGCTTTGAAAAGGTTATAAATCTTACATCCCATAGATATCTTTACAAATGCCCCAGTGTGCATGTTTGTGTGTGTGTGTGTGTGTGTGTGTGTGTGTGTGTACACGCACGTGTTTTACACTAGTTTAAAAATGCCTGCTGCGATGGCCTTGCTTTGTGCTCTTCTGGTGAGTGTGCTGCTAGAAAAACAACAACTTTAGCAAAATCATCTGAATTGTGTGTTATAACAACAGTATCATATGCGTACAAAATTTTCTCCCCACAATCAGTGACAAGCATCCCCCATCGCCAACAATTGTACAATAATTCGACCTTCCTGACGAAATTAGAGGAGGTAAGCTAGAGCTTCCTAAGTTAGCATTTTGACTTTAAAAAAAAAAAAAAAGAGAGCATTGGCAAGATTTGACAAGACTAAGAACTAGAAGGGGTTTTTTGTTTGCTTGTTTTGTGTATGTATGTATCTCTTTCCCATTTGGGCACTCTTTTCTGCTTTGCTTTCTCACGCAGCTGGAAATATACATCATGAGCAAAACTGTTATTCTCACGTTCTAAAGCAAAACATAATGTCTCCTTGTCCTAGATTAGAGGAAAATGCTATAAGCAAAGACATCAATGGAAATTAACCACTTCACTGTCAAAAGTTGCAATAGGCTCCGCAGCTAAGGTTGGCTGGCCGAGGCCGCGTCTGCCCCCTGTGGGTTACAACAGTATCGCCTTGTGTTTAGAATGGATGCTCTGCTAACAATATGAAGAGCATGTCCTCCTTGGTGGGGAAGGAAATTCTTGACTCCTGTGAAATGACTCAGGCCATTATGATCTGCACTAGTAGGAAATGGAGCAATAATGTTAGCTACTTCATGAATACATTTTACCAGACTGGTCACATTACACTTTTTTTTTTTTTTTACCTTGAGGGGGGAGAAATCTAATAAATTTTACCCAATATCCAGATAATTAGAAATCACATTATTTCTCACAGGGTAAAAAGTTGTCCTCTTGTTTCACAAGGCAAATAGGCAGGGGAACACACACCTTGTCTCTCCCTGCAATGGTCCCATGTGACGGGCCGCTAACACATTGGACGGTTTTAAGGAAGGCCCAGGGTCTGTCCATGATCAAACACAGCTTTCCAAACAAGTAGGCATTAATGACAACCCTGGGAATGAATAATGGTCAGTGATATCTGTATGACCATGGCTATGCCTTTTTCTCTCAGAGTGTCCTCTGCATACTATCTCAGATCACCTCAGGCTGCATCAAGTTCTTTATAAGCCAGTGAGGATGGCTGTGTTCATGGTCTTGGCCTGCACCCTCAACCTTGAATCTTGACCTCAAAATAAATAAGAATGCCAGCAAGAAAGGCCCGAAGATAGTGCAGATGTATGAACAAAAGACATTCTCATGGCTAAAAATGGCAATCAAAGCATCATCTACCACTGATGGTTGTTCAGTGGTTTTCCTAAGACACAGAAGACATTACAAATCCCATAATGTGCTTCTTATCCTGGGGTAGGTGAGAGCCTCAGGGATGCTATGACAAATGGAGGACTGATTTTCATTTTAGCCATCTTTGTCATGTTGTGCACAAGGTCAAAATAAAATCTGTCACTAGATTCTATCTCTTTAGGAACACCTTCTAGCAAAGGAACCTTTTTGAATCACTCTAACCATTTTACATGACTAGGTCCCCATGGTACCACTTAAGCCCCAAATAGTTCTGTGAATCCCATAAAACATTACAGAAACCTCTCCAACCTTGGTCTTCTTGGCCCAGATCAGACATTTCAGCAGCCAAGTATCCCACTGGGGGTTATACACACAACACAAATAAATGAGAAAGAATATTTTGTGGATAAAAGGGGGAAAAAACTGTCAAAAGTCAGAGTACCATCATTTGAACACATAGTTTTATCTACACAGCCAAGGGGAAGAGGACAGTGGAAGGGAATTATCCAGTTAAATACACAAAACCCCATGTCATTGTCCCGAATTTTAGATGGCTTACTGGTACACTGACCACCTTCACGGCTTGCCTTATCCCATCACTGTGTGGACCTAGCTTTAAAAAAGCAACAGCCAGAACTCACTAGCTAATAGACTACAATGGAAACCAAAATCACTGTAGAATTAATTCAAATTAAGTCATAGCTAATTTCAGCTCGACTGCACAGTTTCAATTTTTGTGTCTACAACATTGTATCTTCAGTTATAGTTTCTGCTTATTCTGAGGGACAAGGGAGATTAAAACATATAAGTTCGGGGTATATTATTAAGGAAAATAAAGCTCTTACTATAAAGAAAAACTTGCATAGCATTTTATACCTAAACTTTTACAAAGAAGACACATCACAGTTCTATTTTGTTGAGAGAGAGAGAGAGAGAGAGAGAGAGAGAGAGAGAGAGCGAGAGAGAGAGAGAGAGAACCAAAACCATGGTGACATTAACTTCATGGGTCCCTAAAATAATGACCAGTGATAAAGGAAATAGGCAACACAGAGTGAAATGCCTACATTTGATTTTGAAAAGACTTTTCCTTTACCAAGGGTGTATTTTTTTTAGATAATGTATGTAATCTATAGCCCTTCCACATCTCAGGGATGAAAAGGAGTAAATTATATATGCTTTCTGAGGATTGACATCGCTTCAAAAATCTCTGGAAAGAAGCCCAGCCCTCCCTCTTCTCTCTGTGCCCTTTGCTCTGTGCCCCATTCTGCCAAGATGAGGGCAACGCACCCCCGCTCTCTCGCTTGTTCATTTCTCATCTGGTGTCCTGTTAATATAAGATTGATGATCCCTCCCCTATTCCCAAAGAAGAGGAACATCCAAGATTGAAAAGGAATACATAAAATTTCAAAATTAGGACAGGATCAAAGTCAGTCCAAGGTGGAAGCGCAATATTGCTTCTTTAAAACAAAAAATTAAATACATTATTTCGGCCAGCTTTGAAGTGTCCTTACAGAATTATCACCAGTGAAAATTAGTATACATTTTAAAGTGTGTGAGTGTAGATAGATATTTTGTGCAACCAAGACTGGCATCTGTAATGTTCTTTCAAATTTTGAGCAGAGGGAGGAAGAAAAACAAATGGAGCATAAACAGCTAATTACGAAAATATATGTGAGGTGATTGGAAGACAAGAATTTGCGAGGGAATAAGGTATTAATTCGAGCTATTTCAACATGATACTGACAAAGGCAGTTGACGTAGTATAGCAGAACCGCTGATCCCTTGCTTTTGTCTAAATGGTACCAATAATTTTTAAATAATAAGTGGTTTTAGTATATTGCAAACATTGACCCCTTGTTGGTCTAAATATCATGTTGACATAGCTGCAATGAATCTACCCAAATAATTCTCATTATCAAAAATAATTCCATTGAATATAATCTTCCCATTATTTTATTAGCCTCTTCTAAAAAAAGTATTCTAGAATATATCTCTGTTGAATGTGATTCAACCTGACACATACTTTGAACAGTAACACTTTTAAAGGGAGTTTTCTGGCTGGGACATCATTCCTGTCCCTGAAGATGACTAAAATCAGGCCCAGGTCTCTAACTCTGTTATCACATAGGGCTGGGAAAACACAAGGAGTGATTTTTAAGTTCCCAGTCAGAAAGCCAAACCCCCCAGGTTTACAGATCTTTTCAAAGCTCAGCTCATTTTCTTGATGCTGCCAGGTTGGGTTAATGTATCTCACAGGAACTGACGTCCTCATGATGTTTTCTCCATTTCCTGTTTTGGGTCAAATCAGGGTAAGCTACCTCCTTTCTTATATTTTGGAATTTTTAACTTTTCTTCCAGATCAGGAAGTATAGAAATAGCTGGAAGATATCTGGGCCGTTTCTTGTTTGACCCCTATTATTTGCCCTACCCTGATGAGTCCATTTTAATCTGCCCTCTTCTCTGACCACCAGCCCTAGGAAAGGAAATTTTTTCTGACAGCTTCGACAACAAAGTGGTTAGTGAGCATCATAAGGAAGAATCACTCGTTCTTTTGCCTTGGCGTTGGGTTCTCTTTGTACAACCCTGTACAGTACTTCAGCAACTATTTTTTTTTTTAAGATTTAAAAAGCAAAGAGTTACAAAACTGTTTGTAATTAACTTGAAATAGAAAAGATAGCACTTTGTTTTAAATCCCATTATATAGTACACCGTATAAATTACAGAGTATTCAAATGCACAAATGCATCTGTGTAACATTTATCAAATGTAATTTGCGTGTCTTTACGTGCACACACGTGTGAGTTCTCAAGAGTGTTCCTGTCCGCCTTGATAACGCTGGACCTCTGGCTGTCACGTATGGCAGTGCTCCAGGTCTGGGACACTGCTGTTGCAATAGCGCATATTATTGGGGATATGGCAGTCTGTGTAATTAATGCCCCCATTCGGGGTGTAAATGGGCTGCAGTCTGAAATCTCCTTTAAGGAGCTGATCGTTATTTAAGGAGACGATCTGAAAGCTGGTTTCTGTCATCTCCAGGATGGAATTGTCCTTCTTGGTGCCCGCCTCACAGTAGTCATCTTTCCGCCGGCCTCGGTTGTATTTCCACTTCTGGGAGGTGTAGCGCCCCTTTTTGTGCATGTGCCAGCAAAAGACGCTGAGCAAGACCACGAGCACAAATATCACTGCACCCCCGATCAGGCCCGCCAGCAGAAAAGGGGAGCCCATGCTGTGGGAAGTCGTCTGCTCGTGGCTGGAAGCAGTGTTGCTGCCATTGTTCAAATAGGAGGCATGGGTGGTGGCCTCAGAACAAATGGTATCTTCTACGGCTCGGTAGTTAAAAGCATCCAGCGGCACCAAACAAATCCGATAGGTGGATCTGGGCTCCAAATTGACCAGGCTCAAATGTTGCTTCTCGCCACTGACGATGCGTTCCTGAACAATGCCCCCCACTAAACTGTGGCCCATTTTCACCCAGGTGAGTTTGTATGCCATCACAGTAAAAAGAGAGAGCCAGCTGACTTGAATGCAAGTGTCATTCACGAAATGGATCGACAGCTGGATCCGTTCAGAAATAGGTGGGGTCACTCTTTCTCTGCCATCCCAGCCAGGAATCGTGGGCAGTTTCGAGGCGGTCGGCGTCGGAGGCGGATAGCTTCTGCCAGGGGTGGGGGCGGAGAGTGTGGGGAGCTGAGTTGTCGGGGGAGCTGTACTTGGGGCTGGGGTGAAGAGAGGCAGGCCGGGGGTCGTGGTGGGACACGACAGAAGATTCATATTCAACTCCCTGACAGCCATCCCCCGGACTTGCTCAGGACCTTGGCACATGAAACCTCGCACGTTGAGAGATGAAGGGATGTATTTGAGCCATTCCGTGACCCATTTAATACTGCAGTCACAAAACCAAGGATTATTCCGAGCAGTGAGCTGCTTCAGGTTGGAGAGATTATCGAAGACCCCTTGCGTCAACACGCGCAGTTGGTTGTTGGATATATCCAGCCGTTCCAGCTTACGGAGATTTGAGAAGGCTGTCAAAGGGATGTGGTTTATCTGGTTGTCCTGCAGATAGAGCCGGATCAGATGCGTACCTGGGAGATCAGGTGGGGGGTGGGAGAGCGAATTCCTCACGATTGAAAATTCCTTGAGCTTGGTGAGATGGCTGAAGGTGCCCTCGGCGATGCCCTTGTTGGTCAAGAGGTTCCCGTCCACAATCAGACGCTCCAAGCTCGTGAGGTTCTGAAAGGCCATGTCTGAGATGACAGCAATTCGGTTTTCATCCACTCTCAGCTCTTGCAAGTCCACGGGAAGCCCAACTGGCACACTGCTCAGGTGATTCTTGGATAAAAACAACAACTTGAGGCTAATAGCCTCCCGGAAGGCCCCGTCTTCCACCCCCACTGTGGATATAGAATTGTCATCCAGGTGTAGCTCCTCAAGCTTCAAGAGCTGGGCCAGAGCTGCTCGTGAAATGGTCTGAATATTGTTTTCCTGCAGATGGAGAATTCGGACGTTCCTGGGAAGGTTCATGGGGAACTCATCCAGTTGGTTGCCATACAGGTAGACCGTGTGCACTGACTGGACGTTGTGCAGTTCTGCAGGAAATCCAGCATTATTAATTTGGTTGTTGTGGAGGTAGAGTACGGTTACGCCCTCCGGGATCCCAAGAGGCACTGAGGTCAAGCTTCGCTCGTTACAGTAGACAAAGTTCCTGTCGCAGCGGCACACGCTGGGGCACGCCAGGAGTTTTGACACTTGTGAGTAGAGCCCCAGGGAAATGACAAGCCAGGATTTCAGGAAAAAAGCCCCATGGCTGGGCCACTGTGTGGTCTGCAGGCCCATTTCTGATGTACAGAAATAAAATACAATGTGGCGGGGAAAAGAAAAAAAAAGGAAAAAATAGATCGCAAAACCAAAATGACTGGATGGGGTTCTGTCAAAGTCCAGAACTCCAGCTAGAGGAAAAGTCCCAAAGGCCCACAGTCAAGAATCTTCCTGCGGTCTCTGGTCTTATCAGCCTGTGCTGCCCTCCTTGTTATTGTCTTCCATGTGCAAAAAAAGAGAAAAGCAAAAATTCAATAGAGAGAATTTTCCACACAGGCAATAAATGGAGCCAAGTTCTCAGTGGTCAACGGGCCCAGCGGGGCAGGCAGAACTCCCTTCTTCTGTCGTCGATCAGGTCGGTGTTGATCTGCCTATGAACTTCTTGGTTTAGCTCAGTGTGCAATCTGTTGTAGGAAAGTAGAAAGAAAAGCGTCAGTTCAGGGCAGTAATGGAAGGAGGGCTAATCTGACTGTACGCCTTTCAAGAATGACGTGATTGGGTCTCAATGGCTAGAAGCAGGTGATTGGCATGAAGTGATACCTTTAAGTAACAATAATTTAGTTGTAAAGGTATTCAAGAAATGAAAATGACTCGATTACCTTCCAAAGAAAACCATACTGTTACGTCTCACTATCAGTGATCACATTGTGAATTTTACAATCCAAATCAGTACCTTCTGTTACACGTCATTTGCATAACCAAACAGATAGACGCACACCGGGCACATTGCTGAATCAATCCACTGAATCAAACAATGATGATCACCTACAGATCCAACTGGATGCAGTCTTGTGTCAAGGTGAAACAAGTGACGAGCGATTAATAAAATGTAAGGGAAAAAATGTGAAACCCTTTCCAGTTATAAATTAACAAGCGCAAATTAGGGAGTGACAAAGTCATTTCAAAGATGCACCCCTTTGATCTGACACTGAGGACGCAGTATCAACTTAATGCACAGAAAGAAGCATGTGTGAGAGCAGAGAGAAGACTTTTTCCCCACTTCTTGCTTCCTTTCATCTTCATCTTTCTCCAAAATAGCTTACACTCCAGTTACCAAGTGCAATGACCAAACTACAGCCCATGCCACATTTCCACTTAATCCTCTTTTGGGAACTCCAGGTACACCAATGTGGTCTCTTTGAGGGCTGTCACGCTCATGACTGGAAATACATTATTTTTCAACAACACAACCTTCCTCCCATCTATGAGTACCTTCTGCTTTTAAAGAAGGACTTTCAGCAAACGTTGAAATGATAGAAGGCACAGTTGGAGAAGTAAAGGCAACCCACAGATAGTAATCATGCCTTCTTGCCCTAGGATGTGCTCCATCTGTTTTTAGATTAAAGAGGTAAAGAAGTTAATTGAAAGGTGCCAGATTTGATTTCCCTACAAAATAAGCTAACATGACAGGACACGGCAAGCTCAGAGTCTCTTAATTCTCACCAATACCTAGAAATTGAAACAACTTATATCTAAAAGCACAGAGGAACTATTTGAAACTGTTCCCTTAGCTATCTTTAGAAACATAATTTAAAAAGAAAAAAATATATAAGTGTCAAGGATATTTTAAATGTGTTTTATAATTTAAAATATTGTGAACCAACTAAAAAATGTCTTTGACAACCAGACATGGTAAAATTCATTTTTTATTATCAGAAACCTTAAAAAGGGGTGTGTGTATGGGGGGGGTCTCTTTCCAGGAAAAAAAAAAAACAGATAGATGTGATACTTTATAACAATCAAGTATTATTTAATTTTTTAAACTTAACAAATGTATGGTTTGCCACAGACCAGGAGCCATCCCCTCTAACAAAATCCCTATATGTTTAAAGAATAATTTATAATACAACTAAGGGTGGTATAGGAAAAATGAGTGTAATGTCATCGGCTTGATGCCATCTGTAGGTTTCAAATTTTCAAAACCATCTCAATGTTTCTAGTAGCTTGCTACTCAAGCATGATCCTTGAGTCCAGCAGCATGCATTTGACCTCAGAAGTTGTTGGAAACCCAGAGTCTACATGTTAGCGAGACCCTAGGGTATGCACATTAAAATTTGAGAAGCACTACCCTAAACACAGTTCCGTCTTATTTGATCACTCAAATGTTTTATTAAATGTGAAATATGTGTAAGAACATATCAACTGACTCTTCTGTGAAGAGTAAAGGCATACATGGCATACGAATCACTTTTGTCCAAGAGAGTCGCAAATCATACATGTAAATGACATCTTATAGGTAGAGCAGGGCTATGACCATATAGGTCCCTTAGCCTCAGTGGACTCTTGAAAAATGTTTGAATGACAAGCATTAATGTCTGGGAGGAGCTTCAAGAGCTGTTTATAATCAGAGGATTCCCATTTTTATAAAACACAATTTATTTGAGAACAAAAAACTGTTTGGTGCTATTAGCATTTACTCTTCAAAAGAGGTAGGAAAAGTGCGGCTAAAAGAATAGAATTTAATACATTTTTGAGTATTCCACAGGAATCTTCAAAGTGTGATGATGGTGGCACACAGTGAACAGAATTTGCTAAGGGGAAAAAACAGCTGTTCCACGTTCTCTAAGTAAGTTCCGATGGAATAAGAAGAGAGTTTAACTGTGTTTCCATGCCAAGCTTTAAGGGCCTAGAAAACAATTGACCAATACTTGAGGATGACAGTATTCACTCGGAAAGTTAGTCAGCTAGTAGCCTCAAGGCAATAATCATTGGGAGTTAACATGTCAGGGAGGGACCTGGGGACTCAGTGTATCCACACTGTAAATTTTCCACGTGCCTGTGATGTGTCCTATGGAGGAGAGAGAAAGGCCCATCAGCCAACCCTCGTCCCAGGTAGTCCTTGTACTCTCGCAGGTGTATTGTACTTAGGAGTGGTTTTCTTACAATTAGGTAGTAAGAGGCTGTGGTCCTGAAGAAAGCTCCTCATAGGATTCCATGGGCAAACTGTCACTGCTTATCCATCTTCATAGGAAAAAAATCCCATCTAGATTACAGTGTGTTGATCAGCTATGACAAGTGCAATTTTTCTCTTTCTTTCTTTCTTTTTTTTAACAAAATATATTCTGTTCCTTTTCTTAAAGTTAGGTATGGCACTCCCTCCCCTTGTATATTTTTACATTTGTTGTACTTGCAAAAATGTTTTAAAATGTGCATATGTATATTTATATGTGCACAGAAAACATTTACAAATATGACTAGATTGCAGAAAATTGGGCAATTTTGAATGAAAATCAACTCACAGAGTTTTCTTTGAGTTTCTTGGGAACCCCACAAAATAACAAAGCATGGTAGGTTTGTTCTCATCCTTGGGTCAACAGCAGCCTATATATTATGTCAGCCAATATACTGTATCTTTGTTCAAATTAGTGCAAGTGTAAAATTATAAATACATAGGAAAAAAAAACCATATTCTTTTTCTTTTAAATTTCAGTAGGCTACCATTTCCTCTGTATTTTCAGCTCTAATTCCTACTGCATCGTGAGGACAGATATCCTTTTATACCTTAAGCAGGAAACCGTATTCAGAGAGAAAGTAGTATAGTGTAATTGTCAAAAGCCAAAGCCCTGCGTTCTCATCCCACCTCTGACGCTCCGTAGCTGCAGGACTTTGGATAAATTACTTAACCTTTTAAGTCTTAGTCTCCTCATATGAGAAATGAGGATAATGATAGTTCCTAATTCACAACACTGTTGAGAAGATTAAGTAGGATAATATTTGTAAAACGCTTACATGGTGCCTGACACAAGGCAAGAATGTGATAATTATAAACTGTTATACTCTGTGTGCTCGTTATTGTTAATGATATCCAAAGAGGTGAATCCCAATTTGTAGAGCAAAATAAAATCACCTTTAACCTGCCAAGTTCTGTGCACTTTCACTTACCTCAGGATGTCTCAGCCTCAGCACTGTTGACATGTTGGGCCTGATATTCCTTTGTTGTCGGGCTGCCATGAGCACCCAAACATGTCTGCAGACATGGCCCATATATATGTCCCCTGGGGTGGCAAAACCTCCTCAAGTTGGAAGCCACTGACCTGTACCATCTTCTAAGTACCTTAGAAGATTAACATTATTGTTCTGATTTTATAGAGGGAATTGAAGATACATTTCTAATAAACGGAACCTAAAAATGCTCCTTGCCATGGACACTAGGAAAGCATCAAAATGCAATTTCATTTTTCATTCGTCTATTCAACCAGTATTTACTGGGCACTAGAATGAGGACATAGTCTTTTGCAGAGCTGATGTGATTTTTGGCTTCATGAGGCTTAAAGTTTAGTGAGTGGAGATAAATGCCTAAGCAGGGGATTACCGGACAGCATAAAGAGCTCTAACCTTAGGGCACCAGGGAATCAGGGTGCTGTGTGAAAAGGGCATCAGGAAAAAAGCTAAGAGGAAGGATCCTTTACGTGAGGATCTGAAGGATATGAAGACACAAGCCAAGGAAGAGATCCAAAAAGCTCTGCCCACGGATCCAAGCTGGTTGTAACATGGATCATGATATGAAACCCAGCTCGGCCAAGAGAAGGAACTAAACTTTGACTGCACAGGACTGTCCCCCAAATCCTTGCTTCCCACTGAGGTAGTCCTGGGTCCTAGTAAATAATAAACAAACCCATGATTCCAAATAATTAGCCATTTCACGTGTAAGTCTCTAACTCTTGGGAATAAAAAGAGTTTGCTTTACAAGATGAATTTCAAATATTGAGAGCAAAAGTTTTTTTTTTTTGTTTGTTTGTTTTTTCCTTCCCTATTTGTTTGAATGCCACATTGAATACGTTTCCCCTGCAGGAAACTGGAGATTATGAAGAATGGCTTAATGGAAAGTGCTAGGTAAAAACAGAAATTTTCATTTAAAAGCTGAAAACACAGTTTCGAAAGCCTGAGTGTAAATCAACATGCAAAAAACGCTCTTTGGAGACAGGGAGACCCTGGCCCTGACAGTCTGTTAAAGATGACAGGGCCAGCGGTGGTTATTCTAGGCTACTTTACTTTAACTCTTTTCATAGAAAATAAGACTCAAAGCACAAATCATGTAAACGCTTTCTGCAAAGTGTGTTTCTCCTAGTCCTTCCTAAGAAGGTTTCTTTTTTTTCTTTCTTAAATTAATTCCAGGAGCCAGTATTCCAGGAGTGCTTAGTAAACTCAGGCCATAAAAACCATAGTACAGAAAATCGGAACTGTCAATAAGCTCTGCCGATTACATAATATAATGATACTAGGACAAAGCTAATAAAACCTTAATGGTTTCAGCATTGGCTGGATTGTGACAAGACAGCACAGTGCATTGATTGACACATTAGAGAGAGCTGACACGAAGAAGGGTTCTCCTAGAAAAGTATCTTAGGGTACATCAGACTCAGAGCGTCTGGAGTTAGGCAGTTTGTGCCTAAAATCAGACACT